GTTTACTACTCTGCCTTTCTTGGTGTAGTCTCTAAAGACGTCTAGTAACTCTAGGAGCTTATCTTGGGCCCACATGAGATTTAGCCATAGTTGACGCTTGGAGAATCAGGTCTCTCGCCCAGTAGATGGCCTGCTCCGAGTTCTTGGCAGTTGGTTTTGGGGTAGAGGAGTTCTAGAAGGGGTTTCTGCCTCTATAGGCAGCCTCTGGCGAGAAGTTGGCTTGGCGCTTTTTTGGTGGTAGGATTGGGATTTCAAAGACGCTCTCTTGGCTGGCTGGTTGCTGGGTAGGAGTGGCTGGGTAGGGGTCCTCTCTGTCCATTTCCCTGTCGATCTGAGCCTCTGGGCCTAGGCTCTCTTGCCTCTGTTCTAGCACTTGGGCTTCGATAGTATCGCTTTCTGGTAGCATTCTGTTGCCGGGGTTCTCTTATTACTAAGCAGAGTGGTCTGTGTGTTTTTGTTTTGAGTGTGAGACGTGTCTTAACTATCTGCTCTTATAGCTTATAGCTCCACAGCGCGCACGCTGCACGTCTTATTATTATTATTATTATTATTATTAACGTGGTTCACAAGTGAGTCGCTAACCCAAGCGAGTCGCTAACGCCCCACCAGCCCATCAACTTCATCACTATAACGCGTGATGTCTCAACAACGCAACCGTCTATTAGTATATTCTAAATCTAATCTTCAACTTGCTCTTTTTAACGTCTAGTCGCAACGTGTTTAAAGTGTAAACTGTGCTGCTACTATCTACAACGTCCCACAAAGAACTCTATCTGATCAACGCGCTAGAAAGCGCCCTTGACGCGACTGCGAGCTAAAATCGAAGCGTCTAGATAAGCTAGAAGAGGAGGCTATAGTTAAGCGTATTCTTGAAGAGTCTGCGCGAGGATTTGCGCCTACAAAGCTTGACGTTCGAGTAATAGCTAATAAACTATTAGAGGAGCGTGGTGGCAACCCTGTTGGCAAGAACTGGGTTGATAACTTCGTTAAGCGGACTCCTAAGCTCCGTACGCGCTAGAGCCGTCCCTATAATCACCAGCGAGCCGCCTGCGAGGATCCAGTGGCTATCCAGCGCTGGTTCGACTTAGTCCAGGCGACAAGGCAGAAGTGGGGTATTGTGGACGACGATATCTACAACTTTGACGAGACTAGCTTTATAATGGGCAAGATTTTATTATAGTTAGTTATCACAGCATTAGAAGGATATAGGAAAAAGAAGCGGATATAGCTAGGCAACCGTGAGTGGGTTACTGTGATCCAAGGCGTGGGCGCGTCGGGTCGCCGAATACCACCCTTCGTTGTCTTTGCGGGCAAGGTGCTTATTAACGTCTAGTTTGAGGATTTGCCTGCTAACTAGGTTCTTGAAGTTAGTCCTAATGGCTGGACGAATAATCAGCTTGGTCTTGCCTGGTTAGAGCACTTTGATACCTATACAAAGAGCTCTACTGTGGGTGGGTATCGACTGCTCATTATTAATGGCCATGAGAGCCACTGCTCTGTCGATTTCCAAGATCTTTGCAAGGAGAAGAATATTGTGCTTCTCTGCATGCCTGCGCACTCGTCTCACCTGTTGCAGCCCCTTGACGTCGCCTGCTTCTCGCCGTTAAAGCGCAAGTATAGCGACGCTATTTCAGGCTTAGCACGCAACCGCACCCACTATATCAGCAAAGAGACCTTCCTACCAGCCTTTAAGACTGCTTTTAAGCAGTCTATCACGAAGGAGAATATCCAAGCTGGCTTTAGAGGCGCTAGTCTAGTCCCACACGACCCACAGGCTGTGCTATCTAAGCTTGATGTGGTGGTGCAGACACCTGTACAATCACCGCAATAGGTAGCCGCCTGGCAGGCGCAGACACCACGCAACGCGCGCGAAGTTGAGTCTTAAATTGGTCTCATTCAAGAGAGCGTGAGAAAACGCCGTGGGTCTTCTGCCAATTTACTCACTAAGCAGATCGCGTAGCTAAGTAAGGGGGCCCAGCAAATGGCACATAAAATGACGCTTATGATGGAGGAAATAGGTACGCTTTGAGCGGCTCTTAACGAGTCAAATAAGCGTAAAAGCCGCAAGCGGCGATACGTACGGACAGAAGAGACTCTTACTGTAGGCGAAGTACAAGAAGTATTAGCTGAACAGGCGGGTAGCAGTCGTGGTGATGGTGAGAGTGCGTCGAAGAGGGTGCGAGGAGAGCGGCGGTGCGGGCGTTGCAAGCAGACTGGACACAACGCTCGTACCTGCGTAGTTGAGATAGATAGTGCAAGTGATAGTAGCGATTCTAACAATTAATTTAGTGTATTGCAATAGTTTATTGACTGTGATAAAAAAACTGTGATAACGTGTTGATGTAGATGTAGTGGTGGGGCGTTAGCGACTCGCTTGGGTTAGCGACTCACTTGTGAACCACGTTATTCTAGTTTAACGTCCTTTTTCAGCCCGAAGGGCTATATAAGACGTGTAGGGTTTTTAGGCCTACAAGTATCTAAGTAGGTTGTTTCTAGCTACGATATTTAGGA